ACCTTATTGCTTCGGTTAAATAATCCAGCTGTTTATGGCTTGTTAATATTGTCCACCCCCTTCTTATACTGTATAGTGAGTCTGTTCCATTATTGTCACAAGCAAACAGCAGGTTTATTAAATGGGAATTCAAGAAAAAAAGGTAATAAATATGTAATAATTCAAAACAAATTATGAGTTATTTACTCTTTGTTTAGATTTTATGGGTTAAAATTATTTTATATTAATTTTTTCAAATTTCTCTTTTTCAGATTGAGTTTTAAAAATTGAATTTATTTAGAATAAAACGCAAATATAAATGTTATTGCTGCCTTTGATGCAGGCTATTAGAAATGCATCTTTGCTCTTCAAGCCAGACCAAGAGAATGTTATCTGTAGAAGACAATCTAAAAAATAGAAAATTAAAAAATTAAAGTTAGAAAATCTAACATCTGCAGAAAACAAATTTGTTTACAAAAAAATGAAATGTGAAATTCTAAAATATATGGAAGAACATAAGGACAACATAAGGAATGAGCTTGGATTTGAACCGGCATCTGTTCAGTTGCAGAACAATCTGCATCCTAATTCTCAACTTTACAGTATACACGTCGTCATTAGCGCATGTGTTTTAATAGATAAGAGTTTAAAAGGGTTGGAAATCTGGCAGAAAAGTTACTAATAATTCATTTAAAAATCAACAGTTGCTTTAATCTGAATCTGTGGATTGACACCAACTTTATGGAGCTACTAACTCATCCATAATTGTATCAGACTAAACGAGTGTTGAATTACCACTGTAGCTTCAGAGTAAAACACAAACAGATTTGATTATGCTTTGCAATTTATACCTATATCAGGAATTTTTAGCGACTGCCATTTATTTTAGTCACTGTATCTATGCCTAACCTGAAGCTTCATTTCATTCACACCATCTTTTTTAACCTAACCCCTTCATTAAACACATTAGGGTTGAAATCTGGGTCTTCATAAGGCTTGTCGGTCCTCAGAAGGTTAGTTAATATAGCAGAAACAGTCCTAAATAGGTAACATTTACGACATTATAAGTATACATACTGAGAACTAAAGGAGAGTCTAAAATGTATGCTAAGTATTGGAGAAAAATAAATATTGTTAGTCACTGTCCTGTTGAAAAATAGGCTAAAAGAATAGATTAAAGTCAAGCTTGATCACTGTGGTCTGTTACCCGGTCACTTTTGACTCAGTCTGTTGAAACCAGTAAAATGGTTAAAGGGATAATCCTACATTTTTAACAGCCAGTAGACAATATTCATTGTAGAAGGAGGTTATTTAATGAATTTGGGTTTTTCTGACCTAATCACCTCCAAAAATTGGTCGAAAATATTAGAGTTAAAGGCAAAAAACACAGATTTCTGATATCACTGCAGAAACAAGCCTGAAATCTGGATAGTTTAAAGTATCTCCTAATATTCCCTCAGAGCGGAAAACCGTCTTTCCTTCTAAAGATACTCACATTTCCTGCACATCACCTGCAAACAGCCCGGCCCGCTCTGTCTGTTGAGGGCAACAACCCTCCGCCAATTAAGACCGTACATGTCTGGATTAAGCTCCGTGGCGTTCTCTGTGTGCGCTCTAACCTGACACATGACGCCTAATCCTCACAGGCACCTGGAGGGCTTAAGAAACGATGCAAATTCAAATCGCCGTCGCCTCGTGTGTCATCCCGGTTGTCGAACTGTGAGGCGACGTGGTTAGAAGTGGTGTTATTTTGTGTTTAATCTCAGATTAGCTCATGTTCATTTGACACCTGCAGGAGCTAATCTGGTATGTAACACCTCAAGGCGAGCAGGAGGGGATTCTTAGTAGATTACAGGGTTTAGATGTTGTACTACAAGAAGAGGTGCTAATCCAAAGATTTTTTTTTTCCTGTCCTGCTCTAAAACACCTGAATGGGCCCTAGAGTTTAAAAGCAAGCAGCAGCAAAGGCGCTTTTCACTGATCGATCGGGGCCCTCCGATCTGATTGGCTCTGATATTGTGTAATAAAAGTGACGTGGCCACAAACCTACATCTCCATCGCTAAAATGTCACCCTAGTCAGGGAGAAATAATTTGATTGCACAGACAGTTCAGGCTGTAAATTCGTAAAATATCAGCTGAGAGTATGAGGAGCTGTGGGTCTCTCAGCACTGCTTCCTTTTCTCCGACTGGTTTTCCTACATTTGGATGGTTTAGATTAACCTTTCAAAATAAAGATGACATGTTCTGATTTTGTGTGACATTAAAATAAAAAAACTAACATCTAAAAAAAAACCCTCTGAAAGCACCAGGTCTGGCCACCGCTCTGTATTTTAAGTGAGACCATAACTGTTCTGAGAGTTCATGTTTTTTTTTTCTTCTTTCTGAAGAAAAAAAAACATTTGATAAGTTTCTGCACATGTTCTCCTGCAGCTGCAGATCTCTGTAAACAGACTTACACATTTTATCTCTTCATCCATTCATCTTGATAAGATGCAAAAATACATTTACATGATATATAGAGAGCTGATATCAAGATGAATGGTTTTAATTTTTTAAAGCCCTTTATTCTATATTTTTTCTGTTTCTCCATGTCAGCAGTATATTTTCAACTCCCAGCAGCTGCTCTTATTTGGGCTGATGTTTGGTTTTGCACACTTTTCTGCAAACCGATTTGTATTGTAGCCGGTTTGTTTTTTAATTAATAGAAGGTTAAGGATGACTTTAATTTGGGAGATTTCTGTGAAATAAGTAAGAGCAAAGGAGCAGCCGACCGCTGACATGGTGTATGTGATGTACTGGGATGCCCTCTTCATGTCTGGACACTTAACCTTTCAGCACTAAAAGCTTTCCGAGGTCAGATGAAGTGCAGCTCCAGTGTTGAGTAATGGAGCCTGAGTCCAAACAAGTTGCAGGTCTGTGTTTTCAGGAGGGGAAGTGTTTCTTTGAAGATTTCCACTGAATTTTCTTTGTGATTGTGGTGCGTCTGTTTTTTCATGGTGATTTATTTCATCTTTATTCATCTGCGCTTTGGGAAAAACTGTTATCATGAGAAATTTTGTTGTTTCTAAAGCTCTGATCGTCCGATTGAGAGCTTATGATTGAAAAATTCCAGTGTTTCTCTGAAAAAAAGTCAATTTCTCCAGGTTATGAGGCATTGGGAAATAGATGCCACATAAAAAGAATTGTAGCTTATCTGTATTTCTCCTCTATATTAGGATGGCTCCATATTTTATTTATTTTTTTCTTTTAAGTGGGGCTTTTGCTTAATTAGACACTTTAAAATCACAAGTCACCATATCCAAAATTATTTAAAGTCGTAGGAAAGTCATATTTATATGTCAAATAATTCTGGCTTAAACATGTATATAAATGTGCTCTTTATCAGACGATATTGTGCCAAAATTTAGAAAATTTCTATTTAAAAAAAAGTCTGTCTTAAAATATGTGGGTTTTTTTCATTGTCTTATGCAGGCTAGTTAGTTATACGTCAGCCTGAACACCTAAATTCGGCCAATCATATATCAATGGTGCGAGGCAAGGGCTCAAACATGTACGGCTGTAAGCCTTCTACACCAAACCAAGCTTCTGCCACCCTGGCGTCCTCTTCCACAACATCTTCATCCCCGCTTTCCTCCTCAAAATAAAAAATGTATGACGGAGGAGACTCATCCACGACCTCCGACACTAAACTCTCCTCCTCTTGCATGTTTCCGTTGTCCATAGCGTTCCTTGACAGTGTTGTTTCTAAGCCACCAATTTAGTGCTACAGTACTTGTTCCCAATGGAATTTCCCATTGGGACCAAGTAGCACTAAGTTGCTAACTGCTAACCTTCCACCAGAACAATCCCGCCTTCTTTATAATCAACCAATCACATTCACTTTATTCACTTGTGTAAAGTCGTGCACCACTCGGGAGAATTCGTAAATGCAACACTTGGAACAGCCGCTTTCCTACGACTTTAATTCTTCTTTAGGTCTCTGAAAACAATAAATATCTCTTGCATCTAACTTGTGGATCTGGAAAGCAGAAGCTTTACTTTGCTCCAACAGAACCTAGAGTCCAGTAGCAGCTGATATCTGCTTTGAGTTTACTAGTGTTTAACTAAGTTTGTAGGTTGATGACATGTCAAAGCTTTGCTGATGCTTAATAATTCAAACCAGCACTATGCAGATGCTTTGTCTGCCTGGATGAAGATTAACTCGTGTTGAGACAAAATATGCTTTAAACTGAAACAAATTTTTGATTAATTAATAAAATATATCTTTTTAACCACCTGGGATAATTTTGATAAATGAAAACAATCCATTCAGAGCAAAAGTTTCCCGTTCGGGGGATAGCTCTGAACTCCACACCCCTGATCCTATTAAAGCACTATTAAAAACAAATAAAAATAAAAATGGATGTTACCCAGATCTACTTCATTTCTTAAGGTTTACACCTGCATTACAAATTTTTAATCCAACATAACACCCCATAAAGATGTTTCTTGTTGTTTTCTTCATAATAGACCATATTTGGTTTATATTTGCACAAAATGTTTACAGAGTGGAGGGCCTAAATTCCTGTATTTTTTCTATCAGATAAATTTGTACATAAATATTGTCATTGTTTCCTGAAGAGTTTGTAAACCTGTTTTTTATCACTGATACTTTTAAAAGGCGTCCATCATTTCCAGATCCAGGATGTTTCATCATGTTAGAGGTTAATACCTCAATCGGCTAAACAGACCAATTTGTTTTCACATTTTCAGTTCCACGATTTTTATTAAATCTCTCATTTTTTGTCAGTCATAAGTTAACAGCATGAATGAAAAGCAAACATGTGGTTCTTTTTTGTTCTTACAACTGCTGTCGTTCCTCAGGCCTAATTTTAATACTTCATCCCTAAGAAAACAACTTCTATCCTGTTGTTGTCAACACGACCTGATTTTTCTGTGGTGCATTCACTGATCAGGAAAAAAAAAGATTTTTTTTTTTCACATCTGCTTCATGGTTTGTTTTTTGTGTGTGTTTCTGCAGGCCATTCGGTGCACACTGGTGAACTGCACATGCGAGTGTTTCCAGCCTGGAAAGATTCACCTACGGACATGTGACCAGTGCAAGCATGGCTGGGTAGCTCATGGTAAGAGAATCTCCATGCTGTTCAGTATTTATAAATATTCGTCCACCATGACGTTCCTGACCTGCACAGATGTATTTATTCTCTACATGGAAAATTATCATAGATGCCAGAAGCATGAATTCTGCCCTGAAACATCTTGAGTATTTTCAGCTGCTCATATATAAAAATATTATTTCGCTTATATAGTTTGAGCTTCTAAGGAACTTTTTCTTCAGTTCTCTGTTCGTTTCCTCTAATTCTTGTTTTTTGCATCACCTGAAAAAAAAAAAGGGGTAAAAGTGAGGTGAGCAGCCACACCTTATTCGTTTTATTATGCAGGTAAAAGAAAAAGGGGAAAGAAGAAAGTACAAAGCGAAGAAAGGAGGGAGGAGATAAAAGAAAACACCTGTTTGGCTTTCTTCCGCACAAGAACAGGCTGCGGGGCCTTCAGCCGTCCGCACAGGACCCCATTGACTATTTTTTAATCTCTCCCTCTGAACTGAGCTGTCAGGCACACATCTCTCCTCTCTCCCCCGCTTTTCATTTCATGTCGGTATTGGCAGGGACTCTGACAAGTAGTTCTTCATATTTTATTATGTTCGTGTCTGGCTGCGCTGCCGTTGTCAGGCGAAGCCTTCGTCCCAGGATCAGAGAGGGGGGGGGGAAGACACGGCCAGGTGTCACCCAGACAGGCACAGGAGGGAGGGCGGGGGGGGAGGGCTGAAGTAAAGAAAGAAAGGAAGGAGACAAAGAGGACGAGTCAAACAGGTGTCGCCCAGACACCCAACGAGTGGAAAGAGGTGACTGAGGTTCAACAGTAGAGCTAATAACAATCTGCTGAACCTAAAGCAACATGTGAGCCCACCTGTCCTCCAGCTGGACTTTTACATCACAGCCGCACCATAAATCAGCCTTCTTTACATGTTTTTATGTCTAAAATAGTTTATTACATTTTTCCTAGTCTGTCAGAATGCCAGTGTGTTAGGAAAGATTAGGAAAGTACACAAAATGATGCGCTAACCGCTTTTTCCTACCTGAGATTAAAATCCAGCACAATCAATTCTTAGTCATTTATTTAGGGAAATTATTAAGTTTTGGATTAATCCAGTAACAGCCATTCAAAATGGCCCTTCTTATTCAAAAGCCATCTGAATGGCAGCTCACTTCCCTGCAGCTCCCAGGAGAAGCCCCTCCAACTTCCAGCCACTGGCCTTCTCCTTGGCATGCGTATTTTTTTACTCTAACTCCACCGTTTCACTGAATTACAGGGTCAGACCAGGAGATTAGATCTTAGATCTTAATGTCCACAAATCATGACAGGAAGAATATTTTAGTAGAAAGATGGATGTTTAAAACGGAATTGTAGGGGACCAGCCAAAGATCAGCCAAGGGTTCTACAGGATTTTAATTTCCGAAATTTCATTTCAGTATAAGTAGAAAGCTGGGTTTGGTTGAGCAACAATCAAACAAGTCCGTCCAAGAAATCCATGGTATCTCTGGAGGAGCTGCAGAGATCCACAGCTCAGATGGAGCACTCTGTTCAAAGGACAACGATTTGTGAAATAAAAAGTATAAAAATAAACACAGTTCTGTCTTTTATGGAGGAGCAGCAAGAGGAAGCTGCTAGCTTGTTTCCATTTTGCCACAAACCACACAGGACACAGCAAACACATGAAAGACGGAGCTCTGGTCAGACTGAAATGTTATATTTAATATTATTTGCACCTTTTCTATTACCTACTGGTGACCAACAGGACAAACCCTGAAGGCTTGTCTCTCAATATAAGGCTAATAAAAGGAGACTGTGTTTTATTCTCCTCCTCATGTCCTCATCTGTTCTTCTTTGCAGCTCTAGACAAGCTCAGCACCCAGCACCTCTACCACCCGACCCAGGTGGAGATCGTCCAGTCCAACGTGGTGTTTGACATCAGCAGCTTGATGCTGTACGGCACCCAGGCGGTCCCCGTCAGGCTCAAGATCCTGCTGGACCGCCTCTTCTCCGTGCTCAAGCAGGAAGAGGTGCTGCACATCCTGCACGGACTGGGCTGGACCCTCAGAGACTACGTCAGGGGCTACATACTGCAGGTCAGTGACGGCCACCTGGATAACACTCTCCCTGGACACAAAATGGATCCTTTGCTGACAATTTTCAGTCATTTCTTTAAGTGGGGGGATAAGCCCTTACCCGTGATCACTACCATCAGTTGTTGTTCACCAAAATAGTTCACTAATTTCTCCGACCGTGCGGCTCAGAGCTGCTACTCTTAGAGGCATCGATTGAAAGCGGAGCAGTGACAATCTAGGCCACTCCAGCCCAATTCTGCGGCCATTTTCCCAACGTTTTCCAACCTCATTCTGCCCCCGTTCTCCAGCCCTGCAAACACTACACCGTGCCCCTCCGCTGAAAAAAAGAGGACAGAAAAACAGAGGAGAAAAATGTGATGCCAGCAAACTGTAAAACCACCGCAGAGTGTTTCCTCTCCTTGTCCATCCAACCATCCCTCCCTCCACTCGTCCCTCCCAGATAATTGCAGACAGGCACGTCTCTCAATCAGCAGTGCCGAGGTTTTGGTGTTGAAACCCAAACCAAAGTGTTCCTGGATGAATTAGTTAACAGGGACTGAACATGTGCATGTGGTTAGCTCTATAAATCTGTGTGTGAGTAAAGCGTGCAGCTTATCTGAACGCATGGAAGCTTCAGTTAAACAGAAAGATGTTTGCATTTCCTCAAAAAGAATCGGTCCTTTCTCTTTAACACTTCAATACTACCTGATCAGTTAAAGTTAAAGGGGGAGGTTTTATATTCTGCATTCTGTGGATCGTGAAGGTTTCTGGCAGCTAATCGGTGCAGTAAAATCATCGTCATGTTGTTGGGAAGGTATTTCTCCTGAAATATTCTGATCCCCTCGCTTCTTTAGGTTGATGTTAAGTTCAGTGGACAGTAGAGCTGTGAGGAAAATGTTCTTGTTTGGGAAGCACACAACCTAACCCATGTGAACCCACCAGAGGAAGAGATTATTTCTGGAGAATTAATTTCTTTGATTTGAGCATGAGGTGACACCTGACTCTCCTTACACATGATAACTCAAACATGGTGTGTTTTTCTTAATTTAACTGAACATCAGTTTTTATTTTAGGACAACTCCTGTCAAAATCAAATGGACTCCTTCAGTTTTCATCAGATTTAGCTGAACATGTTTACATATAATTTTTTATATTATTTTTTATCAACACGTACGTTTGCTGAGTACATGAAACCATACTGTGCAAGTAAAAAAGATGCTCAAATAGATACTTTATAATTTGATTAAAAATATATATGTATTTTTTTACTATTTTCTGTCTTGTAGCATGTTTCAACAAGTTTTATAAAGTTGTTTAATTTGCAGTTAAATTTTGAATTGTTCTTAAACAATTAATCATGATAAATTGATTATTGATATACTGTAATTATCAACTAATTTAGTGATCGATTAATCGTTAACTGGACTTTAGAGACTCCACTACATGCCTTTAACTGTCAGAGTAACCCACTTAAAGCAGTAATTATAAACAAAATTGTAAAAAAAAAAATATATATATATATATTTTGCATTTAGGAGAAAAAAACTTTTTTGTCTGTCGATATGCTCCATCCATAACTTCTCAAGTGGAAAGGTTTTAGTTTTTAGCTGGTTTAATTTCCTAAATATTCTGCCTAAAGAACCTTTTGCTATCCAATTATTAATCAGTTAATCAAAAAAATCTTTGACGGATTAATCAATTCGAAAAATAATCATTAGTTGCAGCCCTAATTTTGCAGTAAAGAAAGCAGGTGCATTCCTTCATGTATAGAGGGCCCAACAAGGGTCCCTGCCTATTATGGCCACAGTGCTCAAAACATACACTGCAATTTTTTTTTTTTATTATTTGTATTTTCCCTTCATTTTAACAAGTAAACCAATTGGCTAATGAAGTGAGATGATCATTTTAAAATAATAAAAAAATAATTAATTTCAGGTGCATATTATCTATTATTCTTATAATGAGGGCGAAAATATTCATTTGGCAGATCATCTTGTTTAAATGCTCAAATTATGGACAAATACACCTAATTTAATTTTTTTTTTTTTTTCATTTTTAGAAGTGTATTACTTGATCTGTTTCTTATGAAAATATTTTGCTGAAATAAGAGACCATAACTGATTTGTCCTCCTATTGGGACCTAGGAACCTTTGGCAGGTACTTGTTTCCAATACGACTTTTCCATGACGGTGCACATCATCAATGACTGATATAAGTAATGGTACAGATTTGCAAAATATCTACATTTCTATTTCATTTTTGTTAAATAGAAATTTTGCAGCTACTTAAAAAAAAAAAGTAATTTATACACAAGCAAATTAAAAGTTAATTACAGCTGTTTATTATTTCATGTGTTAATAAGTACATAATAAAAAAGTTAATAACTATGATCTAAACATTTAAGGAGTATTAATCAACATTATTAAGATTTTCACCGCATGACAGAAATCATGTTTTTGTTTTATTAAACGCATCATAATCAGGTTTCAATTTTTTTCCTGTTAAATTAATACACTTTAATGATATAAATGAGCAGTTATAAAAGCACTTTTCTACTAGCTGCTTCATTTAGTCTTAGTTTGTTATTTACCTTTTTTTTTTCCAAGCAGAGAAAAAATCATATAAAAACTGTTCAATCCAGTTAATGATGAAGTAATTATTAGAAACAGTCGGACCAAAGCTGACAGATGCAAACAGATCACAGCAGGAAAGGCTCACTGTTTCTTTTTATATAATCTCCTCTAACTATCTTTAATAGTTCAAGAGTTTATAGTTTGAATAATGACCTATGTATAACTCCTTTCTAACTGCAGTCATAGTGCAGCTTTCAGCGCTCTCCCTGACTAAAGGCTGTATTTTCCAGCGGGTATTAAGCTACTGGGAGGACTGAGTTTTTATCAGCTGGATCTAATAGTCAGCTGGTGGGAGCACTGTTGCTTAACTGCTCAGCCTCATGTCACGCTACTGCCTAAATCCTCCAGATCTCCTCGGAAGGGCTTCAAAGGGGCCGTGGCCACAGAGAAGCAGCCAGTCACTTAAGGACAGTAAGCGCTCGTTGCTCGGCCCTATTAGCCCGTGAGTAGCTATGAAATTTAATCATCTTCCCGAAGCCTCCAGGCAACGCTTTATGTCAGGGGTGTGTTCCTCACCACTACGCTACGCTAAATGAGAGATAAAATGAGGAGAATGGCATTGGAGATGATGGATAATAAGTTGTCTTTTTAATAATGATGTCGGGGGGATGTTATTTAATGATACATTGTGTTATTGTGTTAAATGGCTGCATGCAGGGCTTTTTATGGTGATTCAGGATTTGAACAGAAACTGTTTGTTCCACCTGTGTGAGACGATGAGATCAGCTACCGTTATATATTTGACGTAGCATTTTCTGATTCACTATAGAGTTTCCCTCTGGTCTCCTTGTTCTCATTTCTGATCCTCAGGAGAAAATCGTTCTGCTGAAACTGAAATAAATGCGTTTCTCAGACCTGTGAGGAGACGCGTTTAAGTGAGCTGCATGCTGTGATGTGGAAAAATAAAAAACTAAAAAAGCACCTGAGGTCAAGATTACATTGCTCCATCTGGATTGATCTGTACGCGGCGCATGAGTCACACGCCTACGCTCCTGACGTACAGTACAACACGGATGTATAAGCGTAGCCGTGAACTGTCACTCGTGTGCTGCTTACTCATATCCGTCCTGCATCAGCGTCTTTCAGCTCAGTGGCGCTGCTTTTACCTCACCGCAGCTTTCCGAGGAAGCCAAGGTCAGATTACCCTGCAGAACATTCAGGTATACTCTCCAGTAAAGCAGCTCCTATCATTCACAAAATGATCCGTCTTTCCTATAACTACACACATCTGCTCAAATAAACAGAAATATGTTTGGGCTGAAATAGGCTGATTTCTGCAACTTTAAAACAGCCCATGCAAGTATCATTAGATAGCCGTTACACTGCTGTTAGTTTTGCAATAAAGGATATAAACTTTTGGGTGTAGAATTAAAATAAGTAAAGGAAAAAAATGCAATTATACTGAATCTGGCTGGTATGCAGACTTTCTTTCTCAGGATTATAGGGAAAGAGAAAAAAAGGGCATTTTGCAAGAGAAAAATTAAGACTTAAAGGGTTTGTCATTGATTAAAACATAAAAAAAGCAAAAATAAAACTGTATTTATACTTGATCAGTGGTCAGAATCCATCGCTGTAAATAGAAATCCAGTTTCAATTAAAGAAACGTTGAACTGTGGCCTTTAGTTTGGGGTGTTTGCTGTTTCTTCCATTGTCGTTTTTATACTTTATTCCTAATTCATCTACTGTAGTTCAGATGCTGCCTGTTAAAAGCAGCTTTACTTAGCCTGGATCAGTGAAACTCTAACCACTTTAATCGTTAATAAGCAGAGAAAAGTTTCAGTTTGTTTTTGGCAAACGCAGCTTTACAATCATGCCTTGAAAATTCAGGCTACCAGACGTTTTGCTTCATTTTTACCTCTGGTCTCTTTAATTCCTACTTTTTCTGCTGGTTTGTTGTTAAATTTGAGAAAACACTTGACCAACATCAATGCCTCTATTAATCAGCGCTGTGGATCGCCCTCCATGTTTTTCCTCCTCCTCCCTCAGCCAACGTGCACCAGATGCCCCCCTTTGGACCGCCTGATTCCTGAGCCTGTCACCGCTCACTCCTCTGCTCCACACCGACAGATGGAATAGCAATCAGTGCGAGTCTGTCTGTCTCAGCTACTGTCTCCCACACTCCTCACCAGCTATTTTGTCTTCCTCTCTCTTATCCCTCACAGAACAGAATAATAAGAGCGAGAGTGGAGAGCCAACATGTGGGCCGGGGCCCAGGCTTTCCTGAGCGACATTCTCAGTAATGTTCTGTCCTTGTAGAACATTGAGCTGCCTCTCTTTTATGAGATGCGGTTTTTCTGACTCCACGCGGCTTCCAGGAGGCCCAGATGGAACCGCTAACAACCCCCACCACCGCCGTGCAACCACACACACACATATACAGTACGATGC